CCATTTATATGTGTGATAAACATTGTTGGAACAAGTCCATATTGGTATGCAGGTGAACCTTTACTCTAGATACTAGTTAAGAATAATAGGAATTAATATAATCAATAATTACTTTTGCAGATACATAAACTTGTGTATGAAGTGTTTTGGATTGTTGTCTTACTGCACGATGAGGCGCTTGAAGTAATGCACCAAAACACATAACCACACGATCAGTTTCACACGTGTTTGCAAGAATTGTAGGAACTTTTAAATTAAGTTCTTTTCGTTTTCGAAGTACAACCTACAACATTTGTTAATATTATTTAAGTATTATCTACAAATGTACCATGTCTAATTCCTCTGAAGTATATTGTACATCTAAATCTTGCATTCGAGTAACTATTTTCTCATTTACAGTTAAAATAACATCACCATCATGAAGTAAGTTGGGTTCATTCCCCGATTCTACTCGTCTTACAAGAAGTAACTGATGTTTCTCAGAGTTTGCATCTTCAACTCGCCGAATCAATTCATCACTAACTCCCATATTTCGAGCTTGTGCCATCTGGATAAAATAAACTTCTATATTTAACATTCGCAATTTAGGTGTAATTCCTAATTGCAGTTTTTCCAAAATTGGCATAATCGTTGATATAGCAAGCCCTATTTTGCATTGACGATATATCTATATCAATAAGATAATAATACCCATATGATAATCAACATCTTTTCCGCTAGATGTTCGTTCACCCAAATACGTTAACCATAACGCTTTAACACTTCCATCTTCTCCACATAAAACACCTGATCCACATTGAGATCCTAAATTTGTATCAACAAATATAGAATCAACATTGATTGCTCGAAATCTTGGAGTAGCATTTTGAGGAATTGTAACTGTTGTAACATCTGTAACAACAGTTTTTGCACCAACAATTCTATTACTGTGATTTACTCCTACAAAATACACTGAACTTCCTATAATAATTAAGTAATGAAATTCCAAAAAAATATTTTTTAACCTTGAGAAAGATGTTCATTGCTAAGTTTTGCAGCCTGTACATGAGTTTCAGCTAAAAGCTTGGGATCATAACTAATGAAAGCAATATTTTGTGTAGGATGAAGGTGTTCAATCTATTTTTATCAGCAATATTGTTATGAAATAAAAACATTAAACCTTTCCAGGTATAATGATTGAATCTGCAAATGTCAATGAAAGATCACCTAACGCAAATGGTACAATAGATCTAGAAGTAACAGCAAGACCTCTTTCTTTATCAACAATAAGCCCTGTTCCTGATTTCCTATAATAAAATTAAGATTTCTGTTTTTTAAATTAGATACAAATATACCTTCCTTTCGGGAAACCATCCAATCGTATAGGCATAAAGTATGATATTTTTACAAAACTTTTAACTAGACTTGCTGCATGGCCAAAATTGTTATCCAATGTAATAAATTTTGCAGTTTTTGGTTCTATTTTTTCTGGTGGTGGAGGAGTGCCTAAATCATGAAAATCCCAAAGTCCTGTTGAATCATTTCGAATAGCAAGTCGAAATTTAGTAGACCAATGGCAATCTATATGAACTATTTGTGTACAAAGACTATGCATATCATGAATAACTCTATATGTTACTACAACATGTTTCCGATCAGGTATATCTTTAACAACTTCTATAAAAGAATCTAAGTCCGGTACAGGTTTAGTATCAACTGTATCTAATATATAACCTTGATCTGGACCTTCAAGTCGGAATGATCCTTCCGGTTCAGAAATAAATACACCTTTGACAGCAACGGCATAATTCCGTGCCAATTGGTATGATAAATTATGAAATTTTGCTCCTGCATATTCAACGTATCTATCAGGAGTAATTTTGTGTTTATCACATACTTTTAATTTTATATCTATATTTTCACCTCCTCTCTGAACTAATATCTGTATTTCTTTCCCGACAGATTCATCTAGAATACTTTCTAGCGGAATATGTTTTGTAAGAATTTCACCATTCACACGTATCAAAATATCTCCTTCAACTATCAGACGATCTCCTGGTCCTTCTGGAAGAACTGTTTCAGCGACAAGAAGACTTACTTCTTCAGGAAATGATTGCCGAATACATGCTTCTACACTAGGACTTAATCCTAATCTGCGACATTCATCAAATGGCTATTTGTGATTTAGTTATGTAAAAATAAATTATATTATATTACCCTTATCATCCATTGTACTTGAATAGTTCCTCTTGTTATGGGGAGATTTTTTTGAAGACATCTTAAAGCACGAAGAGGTCGATCAAGAGGTAAGAAAAAATCTGTTGCCGCTATGAAATATAAACTCTTTTCTGTCTTGAAAAAGCGACCCACCTTGAGTTCTTCCACCCGCTTGCAACGCAACAGCATACCCATCGATATTTACTACAGGGCTTCCTGAACTTCCTCCACTTGCATTTGCTGCTGCTTGAATATAATTGGTATTGAAATCTAATTAATTACTTGCAAGAAACGTAAAATAAATAGAATACCCGAGTATGTAAAATCTCCTATAAAAAATAAGTAATTTCATTAATATATATATTAGTTACCATATTCAGGTGCATTTCTATCTACTCTAGATATCCATCCTGAAAGTATAGACAATTTTTCGGCAGCATCATTACTAAATGTTCAATTAAAAAACAGAAAACAAAAACAAATAATACCCTACTACTCTGATTTCTGTACCTACACGAGCTAGATCTGGACGCATCGGAATAGCCACTACTGGCATATATTTAATACTTTTTGGATCAAATTTTAAAATTCTATTAAAATTAAATATTTTTTATGATAATCATTAATATTTAAACCCAAAATCGTGAACTATAAATATTAGTTAATATACAATTTAATAAAGAGATTTCCCTACTTGGATCTCTATAAATGGGATATACTTCAATCTATTTTTATAGTCAACAACGATAAACAAGATAATATGAAAATACTTCTTCGTGATTTTCACAAATAGCATGCCCCCAAAAAGGACCTGAAGATACAACATGTCTATTTGTTAAAATATATCCATTCTCTGCATCTATAATAAATCCACTAGCTTCTCCACTTTCTGGAAATTCTGTATCAAATGCGGACACCTTTTTTAATAAGAAAGAAATTCATATTTATATAAATTTACTTGTGAAAATCTTATAGACACAACGCTTTTGACAACATTTTCTATAGATTTTATCCACAAAGATTCCTCTTTGTTTGAAGGAATCATTGTTATATTGTTTTTCCCAGAAAAATCTTTGCCATTACAAAATGAAATTTCGTTTTCTAGTGTTTCATCAATAATATATTGTTCTGAACAACGATCCAAAGAATTCGAACGCTTACGTTTTCGTAACATATCTTCTCCACTTTTATTAGAAGTAGATATTTTATTAAATTTCTCGTCCATTTAATATTTTGGTTTTTAACCTGTTTCAAATTTTAATATTCTTTTTTTTAGTACTTTAGAAATATTAAAACAATTACCAAACCCAAAACACTTGTTTTCAAAAAACATGCATTAAACAATTTTCAAATATATTTAATATTCATTTATTATGAATAATATTTAATTTTAAATTAATAATTTACACAAAAGTTGAGTATCGTTATTTCAGATTAGTTTAAATGTTCAAAATAAAAAAAATAAAAATGTTTTTATTTAAAATTATAAAAGGAATAATGTATATATATTATATTCTATTTTAAATGTTACAGAATTATCTTTAATATATATTATAGTATTTTCGAATTATATTTATCTAGATAAATGAGAAAAATATTCAATAAAAAAACAAATTAACATAGAAATGAGCATTATTTATTTTTTTTTATTAATATCTTTCCAATGTTCTTGTTAATGATTTCAATAGTAATGAAAGTAGGCTTTAAAAGAATAATTGAATTTTAATTATAATCCTAATAATATTATATTTATATAAAATACTGTTTAATATTATTCTAAATAGAGAATATATATATATCTGTATATATAGTATTATTATAAATATAATATAGTATGTTTAATACAAATTTGAATCGTGCATAAAAATTATATCGTAAATATATGATAAATTATAAAATTTTATGACAAAAAAATAAGAAAAATGTATTATAGTGAAAAGAACAGCAATTGGATATGTTTCCTTTTCTAATAAAGGTGAAAGGATGTTTTTTTTCTCATGGATGCTTTTTCGTTCCTGAGATATTTAGTACGACGTAAAGAAACATAAGTTATACTATAGATATTTTAATATATAATAAGGTGTACGAAAAGCACTATGCGATGTTTCTACAAAAAGATCAAAAATTAATGATCTTATTCCTTTAAAAAACCTTTCAAAAAAAGTAGAAAATACAGATACTGTAAATGTTATTATTTATTAATAATAAAAACATTCTAACTTAAAAGGTATCTGCTAAAATATCATATAATTTTAAAAGTACTCGAAAAAAGGATATATGTAATAAAACAAATAAACCGAATACACTGGTTTATTAGTATTTTGATATTAAGTTTACTAATTTTTTTAGCATCGACATTTCAATGATTCATTTTTATTAAAAAACTCATATTTCGGTAAAAAAAAAACATCTAATACAACTTTTAAAGCTGTTTTTCCGTCACTGACAAATGATTGCTATATCAATACTTCTTATCTAAAACATTCGGTTTGTGAACCACCGACTCTTTTAGGGCCTCGTTCTAGATCAATTATGCAACAACTAGAAGCATACAACTGTTATCCAACTACTTTAAACATATTTAATTATATATAGAAATAGCTTAATTATGATTGTTTAATAAAACTTCTTTTATTTATTGTAAAAAATTTATTGGTATCATTGATAATATAATAGGCAACATTTTTATTTGCTATATCAATAGCTGGAAACCATTTTTTGACTGGAAAATTGTTTTTAAATATTTATTTAAACTTATTTAGAATAAATTATTTTTTATACCTTTTTATTAAACCAAAAACGTCCTCTCCAGCGGGGAATTGAACCCCGGTCGCCCGCGTGACAGGCGGGAATACTAACCACTGTACTACTGAAGATATTACTGTATAGTCTGTAAATGTAATATTTAAATGAATATATAATTTGAAGATCATGGTTTTATTGAAAGGTTTTTAAAAATATAATATTCTATTCTATTTATTATTTTTTATATTATATGATGTTTATAGTTCAATGCAGATTATACTAAAATAATTAAAAAAAAACACATGTTTTATTTTGTTAAAATTACGTTATCATTGAATATTTTTTACTAGAAATTATGAATGTTTCTTTTGGAAAAAATCCATTTCTTAATTCTGATGATTTTAATACAGTGAGTGGCAAGGATATACAAGAAACTGTTCAACTACGTCGTCTTGTAGCTTCTTTGTTTTTATAATAATAATTGTTGACAAAAATTAGTCTGATGTTCGTTCAGCTATTTGTGGTGTTTCACCTCTATCAAATAATTCAAGTATAGATAGATATGGTGTGTTGTATAAAATATTTATATTAGATTTATTTTTACATATGTAGACCAGCTAAAAATTCAGTATCAAACTTTAAAATATGATTATTCTAATTCTAAAAATAAGTGGGATGTAGAAAAAATAGATATGGAAAAAAGAATTTATGAAATAGAACAAAAAAATGATGAAAAAGATAAAAAAATTAATGTAAATTTTTTTTACTTAAGATATTACTATAACAAAAAATTAGGAACTGGAAAAAGATAAACGATTTTTATATGAAAAACATAAAATAGAAAGTGATGAAATATTAAAATTAAAAGATGAATTTTCAATACAAAAGGTATATTGTTATTAAATTTATGGTTTAAAATAATACAAAAGTTAGCAAGAATTTGAGCGAAAAATAAGAGATCTTCAAAGAATAAATAATTATGATAAAGAAAACATTGCCGATAAAAAAAGTGAAGAAAAATCTATGATTAATTTACTTCAGAGGAAAATAGAAACTTTGGAATTGAAAAATACAGGTTTAGAAAAAGTTGTAGATGGGTTAAAGGATGAATTGCGATCTAAGAATACATTAATAAATCAAAAACATCAATCTTTATTAGAAGCGAATGAATTAATTGATACTCTTCAAAAAAAAAATAGTACTTTAGAAATAGAAACAAGTGATTTAAAAAACATTAGAATACTAAATAGAGAGCTATCTGAGCAATTATCTTATATTAAAACTCTTGAAAAAAAGAACTTACAACAAACTCAGGAATTAAAGCAACTTCGGGAAACTCATAAATCAATTCAGATACTTCAAGAAGAAAAAACAAATCTTGAATTCCAATTAAAATTAATGGATGATCTTCGGCAGCGTTTGGGAGAATCCGAGATAGAATGTACTATTTTAAAACGTGAAAAAGCGGCTTGGGTAGCTTATTTAAATGATGATGATCAACGAGATTTTGATTCTCCAAAAGCACTAAGTATAGCTCTTGCTCAACAAAGAATTGAGAATGCGGCTTTAACTGAAAAATACAGTGTTTTGGAAACTGAATTAAAAGCAAAAGACATTTTGCATGTGTCTACATGCTCAAAATTAGTGGAATTGACTAATAAAATTTCTGAACTTGAAGAAAAACTAAATTATACTCTTGACAGTAAAATACGGTTAGAAAGACAAAAGGCTTTAAGTCAAAAAGAAGTTGAACTTTTACAAGAACAATTGGTTTATATAAATTATTTATATAAAATTCACTAATTTTGCTAGCATTCTTATATTTCTGAAGAAATGGTATTTATGAACAATAATTATGATACACAAAAAATAAAAAGAATACAAAATTTAGAAATAATATTAGAGGATTATAAAATTGAGAATATGAAAATATCTAATGAATTACAAGAGTTAAAAAATCAAGTAGCATCTAAGTCAACAGAAGTATTAAAACGTGAATGTGAAGAAATATCTAATCGGCATGAAAGAGAAGGTGATTTGTTACGACGTAATAAAACGTTATCAGAAGAATTATCTACTGTTAATAAAAATTATATGCTTTTACAGAAAGAATTAGAATCGTTACGACAACAATTATCTTATATGGAATCTACTTCTAAAAATGATAAATTTTGTCCTCAAATGGTTCGTATATTAGAATTGCGAAATAATCCTGCATCTATTTTTCAAAATTTAAGACAGTCAACTCTTGATCAGTTAAAAAAAGAAAATTCTGCACTTTTAAAACAAATAGAAAAAGGTTCTGATGAATTTAATAGACTGGTTCCAATAGAATCATTAGAAACAGTTAAAATTGAAAATCGAAGATTAGAAGATATTATATCTGATAAAGATAAACGAATACAAAGACTAAAAGAGGTAATTAAATACTTTAGATATAAATGATTTTGTTTAATGAATATAGGTATTTGCTGAAAAATCATCTGAATTTCGAGAAGCAGTGTACTCTCTTCTAGGTTATAAACTTGATTTTCTTCCTAATGGAAAAGTGCGTGTAACATCAATGTATGCACAAAAAGGGGATCGTTCTTTTGTTTTTGATGGTGAATCTTCATCATTACGTTTAGTAAGAAGAGAAAATGATAAATTTGTAAATTCAATAGAAAATTTAGTGAAATTTTGGTACGAAGAACGAAAAACTATTCCAGGTATATTTAAGTTATTTAAGCTTATTTATATTTAATATCTAAAGGAATGCTTTCTGCTTTAACTCTTGAATTATTTGAACAGTCTACTACAGGACAATCAAAAGGTTGGGTTTAATGAAATAACTACATTATTTAATAACGACATATATATTTAATGATACGTATATAATGAAAATTATATTAGATATTTATTTTTAGCATAAAAATGTTTATAAATTACTTATAGATTATTAAAAATAAAATTTTAATAAAATCTTTCTTGAAAAAATTTAAATATTATATGAATTCTTTTGAAACAAATTAGAAATTTTTAAATTTTTTATGTTTTTAATAAGTCAATTTTAAATTTTAATTCTTTTAATGATTTTGACTAATAGTATAGATCTATAAAAAATAAGATTTTCGAAAAGTTTGAATATTACTTGAGTTTTATGTTTTGAAAAAAGATATATATATATTAAAGCACAAAAATTAATACAATTACAGTGAAAACTTCATTATTTATAAAATATTTTACATAAAAAAAGTCAAACTAAATTTAATATTTGTATTCATTGAATTGAAAATTATTTTTAAGATATTGCAAATTTCTATGCAATATTATAAATATATGAAAACTGAAATTATATAGAATATGATAAGTATTTTTATTTATTTTTCAATTAATTTTGATATTAAGATATAATATACATATTATTTTAAACAACTTGATATATAAATATTGATTAAGACAGAATTTAACGAAGTATTTTTAAGAGAATTTAAGGATAAATTCAAAAAAATAAATTAGTTTAATACTCTAATAAGATTTTTATTATCTATATTATTTTGTGTTTCATGATATTTTTTTATTATATTTATTGAATAATTGAAAGAAATTAATCCATTTGTTTCAAATTTTGAATAAAACTTCTTTTCTTTTTTGTTTTTCAATATTCTATTTTTTTATAAAATTCTTCTTTAGGCTTACTTTGAATTGTTTTATTAATACATTCTCTAATCTTATTGTAAAATTTAAATCTTGCAAAGTATAGAATTTAAATCGAAAAGATAGGTTCTTTTCATATATTGTTGTAACTGTAGATTCTTTATGTATATATTTTTATCAAGATATTAGGAAAATTTTAAAATTAATTTTAAGAGCTAATTTTGAAAGAAAATTATCTAAAGATACTTCCTACACATGAAAAAGCAACTTTTGATTTATAAGTTTTGAAGGTTTTTTACTTTTAATATAGGTATTAATTGGCTTTATAATATTTATAATAGATTAATTTAAACCCTGTTTTGTTAATTCTGTATACTTATGATTTAATTACAAAATATTATTCTGTGATAATGTAATATGCTTGTATTTATTTCCAATAAAAGAATTCAATAAATTTGATTAATAAGAATTGTTATTGAGTACGTTTTATAATTTTTAATGTAAATGAGAAATGAAATTTTTATTTTGTGATAAAAAATGATTTGAAACATCATTTTATAATGTTTGTTCTCTTATAGCTATAATTTTTATTGAATATTATAGATTTTCTTAAAAATTAAAAATTATAAATAAAATTATAAATAAAATATTTTTATCCCATAGATTTGAATTATGTTATTTGATTTCAATATATATATACCATGGCTCTCTAAAGTATTTTTATTTTGAATTTTAATATGATTTTTTTTTGTATTTAAATGATTTTACTCTATTTTCTGTCTTTTAATTTATTATTAAATGTATTATATATATATATATTTGTTTTTAATGATGTTTATAAAGACTTTAGATTCTTCTCTGCATGTTTTCTAATTCTTTACCAAGATTCCAAATTTTGGATTTTAAGTCCTATTACTAATTTTCTTAATAATGACTTTCTAGGAAATTGCAATTCTTTAAACACTAACGTATTATTATTTTTAATGTGTTCAAATTAATAAATTGCATACTATTTCTATTTTCGAATTTTTTTTGAAAATCCTTGTAATTTTTTTTTTTTAATTATTTTTTTTGATATTTAATCCTCTTTATATATTATTAATTGCAGTAAATTGTATATAAAAAACTTACTTTTGCTCAAACGAATAAAGTTTTATTTTACTTTTTGAATTCAGATATAGTATAATGTTATTTTGTTTTTTTTTTTAAAAATATATCGATTATATTTATTTTTTAAACAAATATCTTAAAAAGCTGTTTCGAGTGTTGAATCAATTAATAGATCTATATTTTCAAAATATTTTGATAAAATTATTAGTCGTAGATGAAAAACTTTTGAGTTTTTTTCACTCCAACTCTTTTTTTTAAGTCTTTATCATGTCTTTTCAATTTATTTAATATATTCCTTCTCAACATATTTTGCTCTTAAAATCATTCATTAAAAGAAGTATTCATTGGATAATTGCTAGAGTCTTTTTTGGAGAAAAAATTCTGT